GCCGCATGTAACAAGATTTCGTGTGGATTAAATGTGCTTAAATTGATTGATTGTTAAAATGATGTATGACCATCGAACGGCTATTTCTTTTTTCGCTTTTTTCCCTGTGTCCAACACCTGTCTACTCTTTTCATTGCCACTCAGTCTCTCTCTCTCTCTCTCTCTCGTGTGATGCTAAAATTCTTTTAATTAGTTTCAGTTGAGCGAAAATTTGTTATTTTTCGCCTTACAGCTAAATTGAAGCCATGCAGTCGAGATTTGAATGCGAAAGACAGAGAGAGCGACAGAGTGAAGACATTGTAGACTTGCTCTCCGCTCTTCCTTGTGTTGCCGCTTTAAGCTCTCTCCCTCTGTCTCCTGTTTGATTAGTTGCACTTGAGTTGAGCGAGAGAGAGTGAGAGAGAGAGAGAGAGAGAGAGAGAGAGAGATAGAGTTTGAAGGCGAATTGTTGTTGATCTAAGCTCTGTGCTTTCGCCGCCCACTCTCATTGAGTTTATATTGGGATTAGCTGCATTTGAGTGGAAACTTCATTCAAATTTTGAGTGGAAGTTGAAGAGAGCATCTGCTATTAAGCTCTACATATATTTTAATTGCTTTTTAAAGAGAGCAGAGCAGCAGAGTGGCTACAATTGTAGTGGCTGGAATTGAGCAAAATCTGTTTTAATTGGTTTCACTTGAGTGAAAACATAATTTGACGCCATTTTATGGTTTCGTATTCTTTGGCGCACATTTCAAATTGAGCTATATTTTTTTGTCGGTTACAGTTAATGGAATAGTTCTCTTCCTCTTAACTCTGCATTCAAATTAAATGTATATTGTATGTATGTGTGGCTAAAGTGATATATATGCACGGATATCCGCATGTGCTCATTGATTTACTTTACTCCAGTGGAAGACGCTCGGAAGTATGCAGAAGTTTTTTCTTCTCAAATTTTATTATCATAAGCAGCAGCGATAAACCCCACCTCCAAGCGGCGCGTATCCCTTTTGTACCTTACAAATGGAGTCGAGCAGAGTACGGCGGATGCGTCGGTTGGTTATAAAGAAGAAATATTACACATTACGCCAAATAGTGGAGACTGTCAGGCGACAATAATAACGTTTAGAGTTAAATGTACAAAAGTGCTACAGACAATAGCAGACAGTTTTTATTGTAGCCAAAGCTATAGCTACAGATATATGTAGATATAGGTACAGCCATAAAGTATTGAGTTGAGACCACTTTGGCAGGGGAAGGGACGTACTGAGGTAGGTTGATGCAACAGCTCAGCTGATAAGAGCAATCAAAAGGGTTAAAATATGTGCAATGAAAGAGTTGGATAAGTTTTGGTCATTTTGAGTAGCTACACTGCGAGAAAAACTCGAAGAATAAAATATTTTCATAACAAATTAAGAAAGCTTTAAAATGTAATTTGAAATTATGCAGTTAAAGAAGATGATTATATTTAGATAATCCAAGGTAATTCCTATTCATTTACTTCTCTCAGTGTATGCACTGAACATAGAACTGAATGAAAATAATTACTTAATTAATATAAATTGCATATTACGAAATTTACAATTTGTATGCTCCCCTTTATCCACTGTATATATACATACATACATACAGATATATATAGGCCAACGATTTGCACGTAATTTATGCGCTGTTCAATTGCTTCGCCGAGTTTATGTAAACGGCGGCAGCCACTAAATGTTAGACAGGGCCATTAGCTAAGCTCAAGCTAAATGGCCGATTCGACTTGGCCAGGCCGAGAGGATGGGACAGTGCTACTACATGGAAATAAAAATTTATTGCCAAGCCAACAGTAAGAAATCAAAGGCCAAGAAGAAGACGACGGAGAAGGCGAAAGCGAAGGCATGCAGAAAACTTAACCCAAGTACTTTGAACCGAAAGGTACACGGATGTGGCGCCCATTTGCTGTGAGAGAACTTGCTCGCTGCTAAGGACACTAATAAAATATTGAACGGGCCATCGATAAGCGAAGCAGTTACCCCGCACCTCCCGCATGAACTATCCCTCTCGCACCACTTGAAAACTGGCGATAAACTCTGAACGGGAACGTCAACGAACCTTTGCACAGAAGAAGAAGAAGAAGAAGCAGGGAATTTGCCAAAGTGGAAAGCGCTTACGTAGGATGGCAAAGATGACGATTAAAACAAATTTCGACGACAACCTGGCGCCAGGTTTAGCCCAGCGGAAGGAAGCGAAATTGTTAAACGCAAAAGTTGCAAAATGCCAAAGGAGTGCGAGGCAAACAGAGCGAAAGAGTGAGCGAGTGGGTGGGGAGAGCTGGCCGAAGACTTAACGAAACACACACAAGCACACACATGAGTTGGTGTGTGCTTGCACCTACACTCTACTTACATGCATGTATATGTGTGTGTAGAAAAGATTTTACAATGCTCAAACGCACACACACACGCACATGCACATGCAGCTACTCTCCAATTGTGTGTGTGTGTGTGTGCAATCGGAAGAAACAGCTTTGCCATACACGCACGCACACAATCACACTCGTACTTGCACCTTCTCGCTCACACTCGCTCACTCACACTCCGCTCTCTCTGCGCTCTCGCTGGGTGTGGGAACTTGGCAACTTGCAGACAAGTTTTAAATGAATGAGCAGCGCTTCCGTTCAATGCGTTACACTGCTGTCCAGTGTAACTCGCTCTGCTACTATACGTGTGTGTGCGTGTGTGTGTGTGTGTGTCCAGCTCCTGCCAAGCATGACAATGCCTTGCCTTGGAGATCTCGAGTGGCGGCCACTTGCCAATTGCGATTATGGTTTATGTACAGTGCGATAAAGGTCGTCAATAGGTCGCCACATACACGTACACGCACACACACACACACACATACACACTCTCTTAGAGTGTGTCCTTTTTCGTAACATCCTTTGCTGGGGACGAAAGGAGCAAGTTTCTTGTATCAGTTACTGTTACAACTTACTGCTTGCTGACCATTCCAGCGCCTTCAATGGCTCAATTATTTTTGGACAATTTGCGAATAAACCAAAGTTTGGCAAGTGGCAACGAGAGCAGGAGGAGACGGTATCCATCGATTACACTTGCGATTCGATAGTCACTGAAGTAGAAGCATGTGAAGCATTCAAGCCGCGCTGCTCGAGTGTTATTAGCGTAATTGAGTTGCTGGCCAATTATGCATGCAAAGGCTTTAAAGGATACGCTTAAGGACACTTCAACAATCTGTCTTTGTAGTTCACATCCTGTGTTGCCATATTGATATCCCCATTTGGATTGCATATCCCATGTTCCCATATTCGAATTCTATTTCTATTCTATTTTCACTCTCACATATTCCACATTCGCATATTCTCATTTTCCCATATACCGTATACTCTAACTCTCTTATTCTCATATTTCCATTTTCACTTAATTCCATATGGCTATATATCATATCTCATATTTTGCTATTCTATATTCCCATATTCCACTGTTCCAATATATCCACATTCCATATCTCATATTCCATATGCAAATACGCATTCGTCTATGCTCGACAGTTCTTGAAAATTGCATTTTCTTAATTTATTTGGTATGCAAATTTATTTATTGACTGCATTTCGGCTGGCCAAATGGCATTGGCCATCAGTCGGAGGACATGCCACAAGGACATGCAATCATAAATCGATTGTCTCACTCACACACACACCCACCTGCACGTTTCAGTGCATTTCTCACACAACAGAGCTTCAATCTCGGTTGAAGGCTGTGGATGAAACGGCTCGAAATGAGATTTTACAATTTGCTGAATGAAATCTGTGGAGCCGGAAAATTATGCGATTCAGATGGAGCTCAATCGAAATCAATATCTGTTAATCCATGTGGTTACTTAAGACACACGTATATATTATCTATTAGATAAGATAGAAAAGGAACCGATTTCTAGAGAGGAATGGGTAAGGAAAAAGGAGAGAGAGTGTGAGAGAGATGGCATGGATAAATAGAGATAGGGAAAGAGAAAAGGAATTAAAGACGGAAAGAGGTAAGTGTAGAAAGAGAGATTGTGAATGAGAGTACGAGAAAGAGAAGAAGAGAAAAGATAGAGAGTAAGAGAGAGAGAGAGAGAGAGAGAGAGGGAGAGAGAGAGCTGACTGGCAGAAAGAAAAGGAGACAAAACAAGACAATGACAAAAAAAATTTTGCTTTTACTATTCTATTTAATTCCTGAAATTCGTATAGTTGCTCGATTTAATGAAAATACATTTATAAAATAGATTAGTCGCATGCTTTAAAGCTTCAATTTGTTCAAAGAAAATATGATAAATACAGAAACATATACATATGTAAAATAAGACATACATACATATAAACACATAAACTTTTCCTACGTAGTGCGGGTGACAAGCGTTGAAAGTATTTCTACATAATTTTAAAGCTCTTCTAGCTGTAAACTTTATCCAGCCACAATAGAGCGCAACCCTATCTAAAGACAGTTTATAGCCCAGTGCGAAACAAATGTCAAAAAACATGAAGTTAAACCACGAAAAGGCAAACAAATGTAAACCAACACTCACGCTCACTCTCTTCCCCTCTCACTCTCACTCTCTCTCTCTCTCTCTCTCTCTCTCCCTTTCTTGCTGACAGCTCAATAAAAAACAATGTAGCTCAATTGGATCACGCGGCCAAGTGCCGTCCGCATTGACGGGTGGCAGCACTGGCAGCGCCTGGGCTTGCACTCTCCTTCTCTCACTCATTTCCTCCTCTATTCCGCTCACTGCTGCTGCCGTTGCCACCCCACCCTCGAGACATGCAAAAGCCAAAATTTACTGTGTGAATTCTTGCGCTCAGTGGCACATGCAAACATGAACAAGTAACGGGAAATGCCAACGGCACGAAGTGAAAAGGGAAGTGGAGAGAGATGGGGAAGCTGAGCCTGAAAATATGCAATGAGCCGCATGCGAAATTTGTGCAGGCAAAATCCACAATGAGAACCAAAATTGCCAGCATAATTTATGTATGCTGTGCGTGGTGTGAGTTTGCGTGTGTGTGTGTGCATGTGTGTGCAGTGTTTGCCATTGCTAATTAGCGGCATAATTTAATTTCCAATTGGGAATTGGCAACGAGCACAGAGCGCAACGAATCAGCTCATTGCCAACTGGAAGCGGGCCTGGCACAAACATTTTAAATGAGCGACTTGTTGCGTCACACACACGCAGACACACACACAGAAACAAACGCACGTATAATGGTTTCTACACTTGCAGAAATGGCAATATAGTGGAGTTTAGGTAATAAATCGCAATTAAAAATGTTTGCTGCCCATTTTTATTATTATTATGATTATTATCTTTAAATTCAACTTATGGACAAATTGAATTTTTGATAAAAATAATAATATATGAAAAATATACAATTTCATATATTATTATTTTTATCAGAAATTCAAATTGTCCATAAGTTGAATTTAAAGATGTTTCTGTTCCTGTTTGTTTCTCTCAGTGTCTGTGCATGCACTTGCATAACAATTTTTGTTTGACTGCAATCGTGTGCTGCATAAAATATGTTGCATCCACTCACAGCTCGCTGAATGTAGCATGCAGCATGCAGCATGCAGTTCGCAGAGATCAATTTGGTAACTGCCACAAGGCGACTTCGGTCAGCTTCAGTTGCAATTGAGTTAAAGTTAAAGCTGATGAGAGCAAGTGAACTTGAATTAAATTAAAATTGTGCTGGACCCACACACACACACACACACATACGAACACGCTGACACATCCACATACATGCAGACACATGTTAGCCATATGTGGTGTATTACACTAACAAATGATGTTGACCGCCCATGGTCGAGATGTTAATTAATCTTGATTTTGGTGCCGGGTCGAAAGTCGCTTGCATCAAAGTGACAATTAAATTAATCATGATGGCAAACGATTATGTCAACAGGACATGAGACTAGTGACTAGAGGAGACTAGGAACAGGCCAGGACACGACGCGACATGGCATGCCACGCCGACTCATGCCACACCGTGGCATGGCCAGGACGCCCGCAGCGAGCGACTAGGAAACGGCAGCAACTGTTGAAGGATTTTGCGCCTTTGTGAATTTCTCTGCATTTGCGACACAATCTCATTATTTTCTGCTCGGAAACTTATAATTAACATTTTGACCGCAATGAAATTTGCACAGAAACCAAATTCAGTTTATATAGAAAAAGTGGAAATAAAAAATTAAATATATATAAGTGTGAACTTTATGCTAGAGCTATTTTTAATTAGTTTTGTGGCTTTACATATGCCTTGCTTTAAGAAATGGGCGAAAATTGTGAAATGTGATATAAAATATTAATATTGGTATTATAAATAACTAATAGCAAAAGTAATCAATATTAATAAGAAATTTTGTTTTTTATCGAATGATAAATTTAATTTAATTTTCGTGTTCAATAAAAATTTCGTGTCACGACCAAAACTCCACTCATTCCAAGGTTGAAATTACAATTGGGAACAACTACAACTACCGTTGGAATAGCCAAAACACACACAAATATTGAGGCTGTGACATTTAAATTAAACATTATACCATACAAATTTCCATTTATATTATAATTCTCGTTTTTTCAGACCAGTTCTATCAATTAAATACTTCCTCTCTTCATACAGTTGAATAAGTTGCTTATTACTTATATAGCTAAGACACAAACCACAACCTTAACCATTTCGTTAAATGTGTAGCCAAAGTTAGTAATGCTGAGTTCAGTGTCAATTCTATTGCTTGAATTTAACATTTTGTAGAATAAATATCATATTTATTTTCATTTTGTGCCACCTAAAAACTGCTCATAAAATCTTAAAATCAAATTGAAATTAGTAATAGCAGTTCTTATTGGCATAACCAAGTCGCAAACCAATAACTTCAATTTGTTCGTTAAGCACTGTCATATGTGGCGGCCAGTCGATAAGTTTTGTTATCGTAATTTGTAGTGTTGAAAAAAACAAATGTAAAGGAAAACCTATTCGCACGAGGCTACGCCAAGCAAAATTAAATATTCCACTAAATTGAAATAGAAATAAACAACAGCAATGGCCGAAACAGAGCCGGAGGTCGAGGTCAATGGCACCGAAGTAGATGAAGATGGCCAGGACGATGACATCAAGCAAAAGAAGCAAACGCGTCACGACGGCGGCGCCGCCGACCTGGAACGTGTGACAGACTATGCCGAAGAGAAGGAAATCTCAGCCGCGAATATATCGAGTGTAAATTGAAATGGAAATTCTCTAATTACATGCAAACTGAGCTCACAGTTCATTGATAAATCCATCAATTGCAGGCAGTGGAACAGTTTGGCAACCAGCGCAGCAAAGAGAACGAGCTGAGGGTGGCCAAGGAGAAGGAGCTGCAGAAGGTCCAAGTGAAGAAGGAGGACATTGAACTGATTGTGAGTACCTAAACACGCCCCCTTATTGAAACTAGTAGCCCCCAATTTGATGCTCCTTCCATGCGTAGATGAACGAGCTGCTCGTCACGAAGGCCCAGGCAGAGAAGGTGCTGAGGGAGCAGAGCGGCGATGTTGTTGCTGCCCTGGAGGCCATCATCAGCAGTTGAAGAGCGCCCGGAGCGATGGAGCCCCGTTTCTTTTACTTAGCAAAAACACTGCTTTATTTGTACATTTATATAACTAGTAAAGAAGGAGAAAATCAAATCAATCCAGTTGAATATAGATTTTGATATATGTTTCAAGTTTATTTATGTGTGATCTAAACCATAATTTGTTTCGTTTTGTTATAATTTATTATCCATTTATTTGGTGTTCTTCCAACCAAAACATTTGACTAATGAGCCAGCAAAGTACAGTGAAGCCTCTCAACGTAAGCTAACCTTAGAGACTGATTTAGTTTAGTTAATTTTTGCATACCATAAAATTAAATTGCACGCACAGTAAAATTCGACTATAAACTTTCAAGAGAGTTTAGTACAATATTTTTGCATATATAGATAACGTTTAACAAAATATTCCTTTAGATAGGATATTACAATAGTACAAACTTTTTTTTACTTAGATAAAGTGAACTTATGCGTACAGCGAAAACTCTGCCGCAACGAACAGAGCTTGACTGTAGTACAATTTCGTTTTATAGATAAGATATAGAAAATCTTCGAAGCTAACAAATTTTAGCTCTGCTTGAGAGATTTTATCATCTACTTGGGTCGAGAGAGAGGCAGCTGATGTTTCTCATTAAAACTATGCGTATATGTTGTAAATTGATGTGTGTGTGGGTATGTGTAAATGTATGCATATGTCAAAGGCGTAACTATAACATATTATTTTGAACAAAACTCATATTTTATAACAGATAAAAACTAGAATCAAAAACAAAAATGTGTCTAAATCACGTATAAATTTGATTGCGAGCGTATTGTGGATATTGAAATCATGTGATTATATACTTTTGCAGATTATCACACGAGGGGGTGTTTATGTTTTGAGCCTTCCGATACAGATCCCGATCCCCGAACGTGCGAGCCTTAGCCAACATTGAGTCACCTGTACAAGGAATATGAAGACAAATTTCAATGTCAAATTGTGAATATATAAAGTTTGTTCAATCTTACGATAATTTCGCTCTCGACTACAAGAGTGTTTCAAGTGATTGACAAAATCTTCCTCCACCGACTCCTCCAAACGGGCAACTGATCCTTGATATTCCGAATAGAAATTGTCCTTTACGTAATAGGGAATCTTGAGGCCATTTGTCTCACGCTTCACCGAGTATTTACTGAAGGAGAAAATGGGTGTCAAAATCGTATCCCTATAGCACATATTTATCATCTATATGAGACTCACTGTGAAGGCGTTAGACTATACATGGGATCCGATATAAAGAAGGACGACATCATGGACAAACCGATGAGCAATAAAATGGGCAACAAGTTTATCAAGGCTGATGAGTTGTTCGTCTGCGCGTTTAAGGTTTCATTAGATTATTTTCATATATTATTATTATATATATTGGCGTGTACTTACGTCTCTGTCGTCGCGTGTCTGATGCCGGCGTCGCTGCTGGCGCATGTAAATATTTTGCTGTGAGAATCCGTTCTCGAAGAACATATTGAATATATCCTCGGGACTCATGTTCGCCTGGAAGCCGCCATAGTCACTGTAGTGCTGGGTATGGCCATGGTGGCCGCGGGTGCCACCATTCTGCGAATCATTAATGCCATATAGATCGTAATTCTTGCGCTTCTCCACATCGGTTAAGACGCCAGCGGCGTTGCCCAACGTCTTGAATGCCTCCACAGCTCCGGGTGCCTTGTTCTTGTCCGGATGCAGTTGCAAGGCGAGCTTTTTGTATGCCTTCTTAATCTCTGAATCGGTGGCTGTCTTACTAACACCGAGCACCTCATAGTAGTCCTTACACCTGTGCAAGCAAAAGCTTTTAAATATTCTTTTCAGGTGAGTTCGATTTAGTTTACATACTTTTTGACCTTTTTGACAGCCTCGATCTGATCATTCGTATATTCCGGCGCATGGGGCTTGGAGTCGGAGTTGACACGCTTACGCGGTCCAGAGTCCGCGTCTGCACCAGCCGCTGGTCGTTCCTTGCCACTGCCTGGCGAGCTTTTCACCTTGGCCAGCAGCTCTACAAAGTTTCGTTAAGTTTCACGATTACGATGCAAAATTAAGGTCGATGATTTACTCACGCTTTGCCTTGTCCGTTGGGTAGAGTTTTTCCGCTTTTAGCAGAAACTTCTCAGCCCGCTCGATCCTGCCCTCGGTGAATGCCTGCTCAGCTAGGTCGATGCAGCGCTGTGCCTCATCTTTGTTGCTATCCATGGCCGCTGTAGATACGTGGGGGAATACGTGGTCAGCGCGCACACAGGGCGAGAGTGCAATAAATAGTTAAGATCTATGCCTGTGTGAGTACACCAACATAAAACAAGCTACATATGTATATATACACGACGTTTTACACACTCACAAACACAGCCTGCTCGTGCTCTTTTGTAGTAGTTGTTGTTGCCACTAATTATTTGCTTAATATTCTAGTGCACACGAGCTGCCTGGCCTGATAATAATCTTCTTTCTTTTTCTTTATATATGCATATATAAATAAAATGTCTAAAGGCCAGCTCAACTCTTTAATTTAATTGATTTTACTGCGTTTCGTTGATTTTTTCATCAGTTTGCAAAAGGACTTATCGATCTATCGACGAGCCACCATAGCTGGCTAGTCGAGGCTTAAATCGTTTGATAAGCATACAGAATTTGAATAGATTTATTGCATAAGCTCAAACTGACGAACATTTTTTATTTGTTTTTCGGTGATCTAATTATGATAAGTAATATTTCCTGTCTCGATTACAAATGATTAACTCTTGACAGCTGTTTGGCAGTGTTGCTTTGATCGATGGTGCTGCCAGATCGCAGCATTGCGCCCCCTCACATACAATTGCCGTACATATTTGTGTGCGTGCATGACTGTGTGTGTGTGTGTGTGTGAGTGAGTGTGTTTTGTGAGCGCCGCAGCATGGAATGAAAAGCGCAGCGCGTTCGCTGGCTTAATTCGTCTCGTATTTATTTATAATATAACAAAATAATAATAGAAGGCGCATGGCATCTGCAATGCAATAGCCAGCAAATAACGCGTAGTAAATTAATATAGTCAAGTGCAGTGCAATAACCGATGCATTTCGGCCCAACGTATTCGCCAGTCGCCGTCGTCGTTGTCGTCGAACGTGTGTACGTGTGTGCGTGTGTGTGGCGCAGTTCATACAAGTTGGCCTGAAAAAAAGTGAAAGAAGCAATATCGCCATATTGTGTTGTCAATACCGAAAAGTGCATTCAAATCTATATCAATTTGTTGGTACAACAAATACCCAGCGAATTGTGTGAACTGCGTCGACTTATATAAATCGATTTGATGGTACGCAATTAAGGAAAATAACTATCTACAAAAGGTGCGTATGTGTGTGATTCTTTAGGTGTATTTCTGCATACATATATAGATGTGCATGTGTGGACATACGTACGTACGGGCAAAAGTACACTTGCATGCCACAATCGTACATGTGTGGGTGGGTGTGTTTTCTGCAAATGCACAGACCCAAATCTTTTTTGGCTCCATTCAGCCTGCAAATTAATCGAACTCAGTTATGCCACCCCTTTCCACATTTACTGCATTGCTCATTGTTTTTATTGTACCAAAATAAATATATCGGTCGTGAAAACATGATTGTTTGATACCTGTTATCGATAGCGACAGAAAACACGACAATGATTTATTTTTTTTTTTTTTCTTAATTGTGATGAAATTCAAAATGATTCTTTAGGTTGAAATATAGAAATATGTATTTATACTATTATGTAAAATATATATTCGATAATCGACTTGAGTTAAAGATGATTTTTGATTTAATCACAATTGCAGAAAGGGTATTCCGTAGCTGAGCACACTCCGACTCGCTTATTTTTGGCTGATTTGCCTGTCGGTGTTTTTTATTTTATTTTTTTTTTTCGAAGCTCTTTGCTTATTCTGAGGGGAATGAATGCATGCACAAAGGGAATGACAGCAGCAACAATAACAACAGCAGCAGCAACAGCAGCGGTGAAAAGTCAAAGACCGATTTGCGCATATTTAATTTGTTAATTTTGTTATTCGTTAAATGATTTCTTTAAAGTCACACAAACATAACGAAAGGCTACTCGAATGCAATTCTCAATTGATTGCTTGTCATTATATATTGTTGTTCTTTTATATATTTCCAGATTCTGCTGGATCACTTGTTCAACAAGCGACATTCAAATAGGGTTGATCGATTGCAGGACAGCGTCAACTGTCAACAGTTAGAGAAGCAGGTGAGTTATCTCTCTTATTAATGGAAGTCAGTTTGGATTGCACCAATTATCGATTCGTAAAACCGGCTAAAGGTGGTCCCCCAATGGAAGCTTTCATTGTATATTTGTCTTCTACCACTGACCAGAGAACACATAGACTAGACATGTAGAACAAACTTTTTCAACACCGAAAAAATGCGCTGAASRGAYCGGACAACTTCGTATTTGGTCGGCTCGGTCTTCTGAGGCTCAGGCAGTGAAAATAAGGCACGACAAAATCAGTGTGCTGCGACTAGTGCTGCAAAATAATCGATATTCCGTAATATCGATATTCACGATATTTTCAGAGAAAAAGATCGATAAAAACGATATATCGAACACTTCTTTTAAATGTTAATTTTCTTGCTTAGAATCTATTATAATATTTATATTAATTATGACTTCTTAATGGATAAAATGGCAACCATTTCAAGATTAAAATAAAAGCAACAGCATCAAACAAAAACAAATTTATTCAACCGAACAAAGTCGTATAACAAATTATTTTTCATTAACTTAAACCTAAAACAGCAATTCATTANAGAGTGAGTAAGGGAAAAAGAGCGCATAGCGGTGCTTCATTTGGTAATGCGTGCATTTCGTGGCAGCAGTCGCAGCACACTGATTTTGTCGTGCCTTATTTTCACTGCCTGAGCCTCAGAAGACCGAGCCGACCAAATACGAAGTTGTCCGGTCCGTTCAGCGCATTTTTTCGGTGTTGAAAAAGTTTGTTCTACATGTCTAGTCTATGTGTTCTCTGGTCAGTGCTTCTACTTAGATGATTTCCTGTATATGGTTGAACCTTGAGGTCTCAGCAATGCTTAAATCTAAGTAGCTTTTTAACTATAGCATAATCCTTCTTACTCCCTGTGGGACAACGGCTCCGTTACTCAACGTTGACAGCTGAGAGTGCAAACACAAGAAAGCTCAACGCAAAAGCAAAACAAATTCTGAGCTAAAGGTAAAAATCTAGCGGCAAAATATGAACACACAAACACACACACAGACACGCTCTCTACTAGGAAAAAGCTTTAGCTATCTTTTCAAACTTCTCGTGACAGCTGAGAGCGCAAACACAAAAAGCTCAGCGCAAATACAAATGCAAACACAGTGTAAAGTCAAAAAGTAGCGGCAAAATATGAACACAGACACACACACATGCACGCTCACACCGCACACACACCACTGTCAGGCAAAAAGTCAAGAAAAAGCTCACTCAGTCGTCAGCTGCTGCGCGTAGCGTGAAGTTTATGTGCTTTTTGTATCGCTGCCTCGCAGAACGCGTCTAATTGTCAAACATTGGCTATAAACTATCAAAAATTACGCGTTAAAGAGGTTGATTTCGGTTTGTCACAGTGCCAAGGTGTGTGCGTATGTATCTCTGTGTATGTGTTTGAGAAGTTCGGGCGTCGCTTTACATACTTTAATTAATTTATTACTGCCGGCGCATAGCGTGACCCGCACGCGTGTGCTTTGTCCCTTGCAAGTGTTGCTATGACCTTAATTTAAACACAAAAAAAGTAAAATATATACTTCTAGTTGGAAACAAGAAACACGCGCAAATAAACGTGAAACGCGAACAAGTCGAAAGCTTTACAACAACAACAACAAAAGCAACAAGAACTACAGAGACAACTTCCTCAATCTGAGTGCGAGCACTTTTCCACTTATACTCTTGAATTTTGGGTTGTTTGAGGTCATTTAGCCAAAGGCCTTCAATTACGCACAAGTCAATAAAACAAATACTACTACAATGACAACAACAACTATTAGTTAGGTACATCAAATGATGACAGGCGGCATTAGCGAAACGTACTCAAGAGCACATTAACTGTTAACTCATCTTTGTTCTGGCTCTCTATGCGCTGCTCTCTTTCACTCTGTCTCTTTTTTTGACTGACGCAAATACAGTTCAATTTTGGATACTAAAAGCAATGCTAATAAAAAACAGAGATTACTTGTCTTAATAGCGTTGCCAGATTTGCACAAATTTGTTAGCAATAAATATAAATGCTGCCAACAACAGCAAAGCCAACAACAACAACAGCTACTGCAGTCAGCATTGAAATTCTCGAGCGTGCCCTCTTGCTCGCTCTCCCTCAGCCAATACATATATAGATGTATGTATGTATGTACATGTGTATGTATATATTCGCCTCAATATTTGTATCATTCTATTCGTCTCGCTCGCACACATAACATATGTTTTGATTTCGCCTTGCTGGCCATACACAAAAGTAAAATTCAATTAAAAACATGTGCGCCACTATTTTGTTTATTGTTTATAAATGAGCACATACTTAACAGGCTCAGCTGCGCTCTCACTTACGTACTCACTAGCTCGCTCGCTTGTGCTCTCCCACTTTGCATGCTCTCCCGCTGAGGTCATATGCTCGGCGCGCGCTTAATAGTCAAACAGACAAACACCCACCGCTGTTTACTGCTATGAAACGACCCTCACCGGTGCAGGTTTTGCCTCATTCAGAGAGAGTGAGTGAGTGAGAGAGTGGGAGCGAGACTGTGACTCTGAGTGAGCAGATGACTATTTGAGCGAACGAGTGAGCGCTTAGGCTTCAGTGCAAAGTCAAAAGTAAACGCAAGCTTTTTATTTCTGCGCATGTTTTTGGCTTTGCTGTGTGCTTTAGCTTTTAGCTTTAGCTTGTATTTTTATTTTTGTATACTCTCGTACACACGAACTACACGTATGTGTAGTATATACATAGATATACATATGTATACACACACACACACACACACGCACATTAAAATCAAATCAACTGATATAGGAAGAACCTTGTGTACTCTCATGACTGTGGAATGGAATTTAGTTAGTAGTTTCTTCTCTCCCTCTCTCTCTCTCTCTCTCTCTCTGCTCGTTTGCACTTCTCAATGCTGGTCGTTATGGTTGTTGTTGTCCCTGCTGATGTGATTACACTGCACTTTACACGTATGAATGCCTCCAAATTTCCATGCAAAGATGCACACAAAACGTTCCACCGAAGTATTCTCGGCTCTCGCTTTATTTGTCATTTGGGGTCTTGCTCATCTCTAGATTTGTTCTCATCTCTGGTTGCCTAGGTGTCAAAGCTGACCTCGCCTGTGCCCGGTGCACAGTTATTGATTTTGTTCTAATACCCTTCAGCTGAAGACTTGGTCATTCTATGATCAATTGTGTAAAGTGCTGGCAATTCTTTAACGGACAGGTTTATATAGGAAGTATTAGTTGTAAATCAAGTTAGAAAATAAATTTATGCATAGTTATGTATGGAAATATACGTGCATATGTACATTGTATACAAGGGCATGCAGTGTGCGGCTCATGCATATGTGTTAAAGC